TCAGTTGGAGTCCCCCAACGCTCTGTCTTTGGTTCCCTTCTATTTTCTCTTTATACTGCATCTCTTGGCAAACTGATTACCTCTTTTTAATTCCACTACCACCTGTACGCTGATGACACCCAGATATGGCTCTCCTCCCTGGACCTCTCCCCTGCTGTCCTGCAACTTGTCACTGCTTGCCTTTCTTCCATCTCTGACTGGATGTCCTCCCGCTTTCTGAAACGAAATCTCTCTAAAACTGAGCTCCTTGTCTTTCCTCCTCCTAATACTGATTCTCCTCTTTCGCTCTCCCTTCAAGTTAGTGGTATATACATCAATCCATCCTTGCAAGCGCACTGTCTTGGCGTCATACTTGATTCTGGCCTCACCTTTAAGCCTCACATCCAGCAAGTTACCAAGTCCTGTAGATTCTATCTTAAAAACATAGCCTGCATCCGCCCCTTTCTTACACAAGATGCTACTAAGGAGCTTGTCCATGCTCTAGTAATTTATCGCATGGATTATTGTAACCCTCTCCTAATTGGTCTTCCCAAAAACCGTATTGCCACTCTACAGTCTCTAATGAATGCTGCCGCTAGACTGATTTTCCTCTCTAGTCGCTCCTCTCACACCTCATCCCTCTATCAGTCCTTACATTGGCTTTCTGTATCCTATAGGAGTCAATTCAAAGTGCTAACCCATACCTTTAAAGCTTTGACCAATTCTAGCCCCTCTTATATCTCTTCACAGATCCATATGTATGCCCCTTCTCGGTCTTTCCGCTCTGCTCGCGACCTTCTCCTGTCCGCTGCCCGCATGCGTACAGCCAACTCATGCTTGCAGAACTTCTCACGGGGGGCTCCCTTCCTATGGAATAGCCTGCCTCCCACCATCATACTCTCACCTAGTCTTCAATCTTTTAAGAATTGCCTTAAAACCCATCTCAGTATGAAAGCTTATGGCCTCCCAGAGTAACCTCTGCCTCCCATACCTGTCTATTGCTCTCTCTTAAAGGGCAGCACTCTACTCTCGCCTCCAGCTCTGCTTCACTCCCACCTTATTTGATTGATATTTCCTGTCCTATTGTGTTTTACACCCCACCTCCTATAGACTGTAAGCTCGTTTGAGCAGGGTTCTCTTCAACCTATCGTTTCTGTAAGTTTTCTTGTAATTGTCCTATTAGAGTTAAATCCCCCCTCTAATAATATTGTAAAGTGCTACAGAATCCATTGGCGCTATATAAATGGCAACAATAACTAGAAAAGCTACAATTTCTGGGGAAATTGTGTGAAGTGTTCTTGCCTCCACCAGTAGTCTACAGCTGGAGTGGGCAGAGAAACTGGGTGGAGTGGCTTGAGTAACTGTTGTGTGGTTGGAGTGGCTGGAGAAACTGTGAAAAGGTTGGAGTGTGGTTCACTCACTCTACAGCAAGGGCAAATCCCTCGAACATTCCACCAACTGCCAACAGGAACTAATAGATTTCAAAGAAGAGAAGAGCAGTTAAAAACAAACTGCTCCAAATTGCTCACTTCACTGGTGGCTGCCATCTTCAAACGGTTGTATTTTAAAAACTATAAATCTATAAAGCCAAGAGCTTTATATTGTGAGAATCACAAGACCCAGACCTACATTTTGATGCATAGTATGTCTCTGTTTAGTGGCAGCAGAGATAGCTGAATGTTCTGATATAAGATTTGTGTAGGTGGGCTTGAAAATGAGGGAGTGGTGGCAGTTTAGCAATCATGTCCTGATTTTCCAGCTTTTGCCTGCTCCCACTGTAGTTTTGAAAATTTCACCGTTCATTCCTATGGGACAAATTTCGCCACAAAAATTACGATATTTTGTGAACCATTCAGCGAAACGTTCCACAAAGTAATAGCACACCAATCGGGAACAATCCGCACGTTTCGGTATATTACTGTCTATGTAGTGTAAAAACTGTGGGAGGAGTTAGGGTGGTAAATTTGGCTATAATAAGAATAATATATATGTGAGATATATCTATGAAAATTCTTCTTATAGAAACAGAAATAGCATGGTCTCTTATATGGGATTGTGGCTTCACAGAATAGTGGTAAAGGCATACAATGGTATTGTTGTACTCAGCAGATGTAGCTGAACACAATATGGGTTCCGTACAGGGATAGCACACACCAGATTAACGAAATACACATTACGGAAACGTTGTTATATGGGTACATGCCAAAATAGAGAAAAAACACAATTTTTCGCCAATATTTTTCAGAGATTGGCGGTGAAATGGCTTTATAAAAAGTGTCAAAATAACCTTAGGTAAATAGCCTGTGATGTCTACTTTATATAAATGCATACTTTTGTGTGGCAATTTTGTTTTCTGTGATGGGTATTAAACTTCGAGGACAAACATACCAACTTCTAAAATTGTTTCACATTGAAATTTTATTTAAGTCCTTGCATTTGTTGTTTTGTAACTTTCAAAATAAACTGAAATTCTACACATATTATGTACTCTGTGTATCACAACACATAAATGAATTGATTTTGAATTACATATCCTAAGCCAGACTTATTATGCACACGTTAGTATTGCCAAAACAAGGAAAACAATGATTTTATTTTGGATTTTTTTCCCATTATTTCTGCATTTGTTTTGTAATAGATAAGAATTTATACGTGTATATGTGACATCAAATTAAAGTTAATTTTATTGTCTAAAAATCGGTATATAATATGTGCTGGTACAATAAATGAGAGAGATGCAAATTGCAGTTGAACACAAACAGCAAAAAAAATAAAAATTGCTTGTGTCCTTAAGTGTATGTCCAGCTTCTAAAGCTGTGTCCTTAAGGGGTTAAATATATGTGTAGCTAAACTTTGAATTGGCCAGGTTGTTCTGTGATGTGAGCTACTGTCTTAACATCCCTTTCTTGTCATTTCCTTATCTTAGTCATGTATTTCCCTCTATGTGTTCATCTGAAGCTGCCTGCTCCCCGTTTGTGAGTGCAGCAACGAACAGAACCTGTTCACCTCCCTATTGGGGACCACCCCGATACTCCAATTAGAATGTTGTCTTAGAACATTCTCACCTCATAACGAGGTGTCAAAACCACAAACTGAAAGGCAAGCTTCGGCGCGTGCCTACCGTGGGTGGCGTCCCGTTCATTAGATGAACGCCATCCAGAGGAAGTATTCGTGGATTGCTCCAACCTCGTTCGGTTTCCGAACGAGGACCTCCCCAGTGCCCCTTGGAGTGTTCACACCAATCAATTAGAACATTAGCAACTCGCAACATAAGTGTGAAACCACAAGGGAAGTAATTAATGAGTGCTTCCCTAGGTGGCCGCCATTCATATAGCCATTCGTGTTCCGAAAGGAGATGTTTCCCTTGCCTGATTTCACCCAGGGACCCCACAAACGGAGCCTGTTCATGGTGGTTGCAAATCTGGGGGTCCCTGAGATTGGTGGGGACACTCCTTGGGGGCAATAGCGGTTTAGCAGGCTTTCTGTAACTGGGAGTCCAGGAGGCGGGAAGCCCTGAGCAGGGGTGGCGGGAAAGGGGGACAAATGGACTGGAGTTCCATTTGCATCAGGAGACCACTTGGAGGGGAAGGGCCCTGGGAGGGGACACTGGGTGGCTGAAACAGAGGACAAAGGGACTGGGATTCTGGATCCGTTATATGACCCCAGGGAAGTGGAGGACCTGGGGAGGGGACATTGTCTTTCTGTGTGATCCACCCCTTGCATGGGGAAAAGTATAAAGCTTTGTGTGGCCTATAAAGTTGTTGTTGTACCCCTGGAACTGTGTGTGTGTCATCAAGTTACTGGGGGGGGGGACAAATTGACAATCTGATATAAAAAAATTCAGTAATTTTTCTATATAAAATTTGTTGTTTTTTCATTGACTTTTACTTTAAAATTGCAAGAATTTTTCTCACTGCTGCAAAGTAGCACTTTTGCTATGCCTTGTGGGATGTAGTTGATAGGGTACACTTGCTGGTCAAACATGGCTTATAACACACTTGATGCTCACAGGACAATGAGGATTAATGTGTTGATATGAATGGTATGCCATGGTATACTTGCAGGGTGTTGTGGAAATTAGATATTGACATATTTTTTAGCTAGTAAAATGCCTATTTACTCCATTTAGTTATACTCAGTATTATTCAATAAATTACTAAACTGACCACTACATGACACTCAGGAGTACCCCACCCATCGACCAAACACTCTCATTTTCAAGATGGCGCTGGAATCCGGGGGAGAACTTCATGACGACAGTAATGACATAAGATGGCACACCCAGTAGGACGTGCTTTGAATAAAACACTTAACACTTAACCAATTATTGATGTATTATTTCATGTTATCTCTGACAGCGCTTATGATGTAATTGTGCTTTATAAGGGACATGTCGTCCCCCCTGAATAAACATTCCAGAGTATTTCATCAACTGGGAAACATGTGTCTGGTGTGATTTACTTTGGAAAGCATGCATGCACCATAACCAATTTGGACAGGGGCAGAGACACAAAAATAATCAATTGATTGAATTGATTTCCACTTCACATGGTACATATTCTGGGCACAATTTTTAGAAGAAACACACAGAATAGCAAAATATAGTGATAGAATCTCCACTCTTGCTAGAATAGGGCAGGTTGGTAATATGGGCATAACAAAATGACTATACAGAAAAAATACAAATGAACACCGTTCTCTCACAAAATGGGGGAACTAACTTCACAAGAATGACCAACAAATTCAAAATAATTCTTAAAAGTAATATCCTATTCCAGCTCTTATAAAAAAAAAAATATATGAATTTATCACTAGCAGTAGACAGTTTGTCAATCTAAATTTTTTTTTTTTATTTGACGCTACAGTTAATTTAAACATAAATAATTATGGTTTTATTATTTAATTTCTGTGTCATAGAACATTTACTGTAGGCTTTGTATTTTGAAAGTTGAGTTATAACTCTCTCCTGCCTTCCTCTTTCTCCTAAGTGTGAGGTTTTATAATGAGCTATACTTTTCCTTCTGTCACAGTGTCTCTCGCACAGTAATATGTCCCAGAATCGTCACTTCTCATATTTGGCATTTCAAAGTAAAGTTCATTTTTTGATGTGTCTCTGGTGAAAGTTACTTTTCCTTGAAAGGAGGGGGCATAATAAATGCTTCCACCACCATGTATATACCCAATATATTCCAGTGCTGACCCTGCTTTCTGTCTGACCCAAGCCCAGTAATCACTAGCAATAGACACTGAGACTTTACATGGGATTTTCAGGGTTTCAGAGGGTTTCACAACTGCAGATCCAGGTTGGTCCAGAGTAACTGTCTGGGAAAGAACATCTGTAAAAAAACAAATATAACAATTTAAGAGGAATCTGTAATGTATAATGCCTGAAAATAAAATGGTTATGCATACAGCATACATGTGTT